GCTCAGAGTCAGCAGATGCGAACCAAGGCAGCTGCAAACACCCTCGGCCCTGCCCAGAGCCTCTCCTGCCCCTGAGGAGTTTCTGGGTGGTTGGACCATGGCCCCCGAATAAACAGCCTTAACAGAGAGCCTGGGAGTCTCTTCCTAGTCAAGAGAAAGGCCGAGCAGAGGGCCAATCCTTTCTACCAGCCTGGGCACCTAGTCAGCAAAAGCAAAGCTGAGCTGGGTGCCTGTCTATGCTGGGGGGCACTGAAGGAGGCAGGCGCCACGGACACGAGGTGGGCCCCCAGCGCCTGAGCAATGGCGACAGGAGCCAGCACCAGCAAAGGAGGGAGCCCTTGTCTGGACCAGGCTGCTCAGCCTAGTGGGAGGGACAGAGTGACCCTGGTGTCCCCAGGGAGCTGGTGGCACAGGAGGAACTGGGAGCCTGGCACTTCCGAGTCAGAGTGGCTCAAGGGCTGGTCTGCAGAGCTCACCTCAGATAGCGGCGAATGGGCTCACACGCCACTTCCAGGATGACCATGGAGGGGTCCAGCACGCGTAGGGCCTTGATGGCGGAGATGTAGAGGGTGATGATGTCACACGTGTTGACGCCTACAGCGAAGAGAGGAGGCCGGAGATCACGGCAATGCTCAGGAGCTATGGCTCCGTGAGCAGGCGGCTGGCACACCAGTCAGATGGCCTTCAGGTCACCTCTGTGACCCGCAAGGAGCTGCGCCCCATCTCCCCTAACACTCACAGTGCTTTCTCCAGAACCTTCCAAGATCCAAGCCCTTGCTGGGGATGTCCTGAGAAGACTGTGCCCTGCCCCCAACCCCAAGCCAAACCCCTCAGCTCCCATGATGCCCTTCAAAGAGGGTGAAGGACTTCAAAGAGGGAGGGCTCCCCCACCAGCCCCAAAGACTGCAAAAACAGCTTTTCCCCTGCCTCCTCCCAGGGCTGGGAGCCTGGACCTGAGGGCAGCAGCCCGAGGCACCTGGGTGGAGAAGCCGCGTCTCCAGGGCGGCCTTGAGGGACACGAGGAGCTGCTGCCTCTGGTCAGTCCGCTGCAGGCAGTACTTGAGGTCCTCGATGGCCGGCCGGGAGTCCGGGAAGTCTGCAGGAGAGGGCCAGCTTTGCACATGCTCGTGGGTGCACACACTGTGTGTGGCAAGAGGACACGCAGATGGCAGGGCCCAAGGGAAAATAGCCCCACCCACATGTGCCATGTGCTGTCCTCGTCCTTCACGAGCCCATATATTGGAACCCCACCCCCATGGGGCAGACGGTCAGAGCAACGCTCAGAGGCCAGTCTGAGCAGGGGCATGAGGTCGAGGGCAGGAGGCAGGCCCCCAGCAGCACTGGCTGGCACTCCACCACACCTGCCTGATGCAGACACTGGGCTGGGTAGCCAAGCGGGGGCCCAGCTGTGCCCAGGATGCCCCCAACCCCAGGGCGGAAGGGCAGACCTCGGATGACACTGAAGAGCTCCTCAATGCGCAGGCCGGCGTAGATGCGGTAGAAGAACCTCTGTATGTGGCAGCGCCAGCGGCGTAGCGTGTCACCTGCCACAGGTGACGAAGGCCTGGCAGGGCCATCCTGCAGGAACACCCTGCCCAGCCAGCCAACCACCCTCTCGATCCACTGTCAGGAGAGCACAGGGGTGGGATGTGGGCTGGACCCAGCTGGACCCAGCAGGCTGGGACCACACAGTCACCCGCCCTGAGGCTAGGCCCACAGAGTCCCCAAGGCCGCCTGCCCCAGAGGCCAGGAGCACACAGAAACCGTCAGGCTGCTGGGCCTAAAGGGGTGTACCAGGCCTCCATCCACAGACCCCACACTCCTTCCATGCACATCAGTGTCCACAGCACCTTTGGCAAGAGCAGCCCCAACATGGGGTACAGAGAGCACGCGCGCCTTCTCCTGAGTGGAGACACATGCCCTGGGGCCCATGCACACTAGCTCCTGCACACAGACAATGCGGCATGTAGCAAGACTGCTTCTAAGTGTGCGAGTGCAAATCTATAGGAGATACCACCACGTAGGCCACACAGCCCCCCGCAGATGGCCCAACCACTGATGAGAACACCAGGATATCTGCCGTCTGGGGCAGCACAAGCCGCCCAGACCAGGCTCCCAGGCTCCCACCTGCTGCTGCTGTAGGGACACCACCCCTCAGCTGAACTGCATCCTCACAAGGTGGAGACGAAGGACCAGCGCGGGAGGACAGGCAGGAAGTGGAAGCAGGCTGGAGAGCCCCCCACGGCTGGACCCAGCTACTTCACAGCCCTGGGGAGCCCAGAGCAGAGTCCCGGACAATTCCCCAGCAGCACGGGCACCCTGCAGTCCCTCACCAGTACACCCTGGACCTTGACTGCCCCCACCATGTGATTCTACACAGACCTTGTGGAGCATGTCATGGGCTCTTCCTTGCTGTCACCAGAGTGGGCCAGGAAGGACTGGCCTCCACCCAGCACCAGACAGCTGCGACTACCAGCGAGGTCCTAATTCACCTGGTCTCTGCATTCTGGCTGCTTCTAAAGCCAGGGTGTCAGGTTTGTTCCCAGCCCCCAGAACACATCTTGGAGGGGTGTCCTCACCTTGTGGAACTCACGCAGGAAGGACCGCTCATACTCTCCCCTGCAGCGGTCCTCCATCCTCTCCCGGGTCACCTGGTGCAGGGTGGTAGTCACGGCCTCGGCACTGACGCGCTCCAGCAGACTGAGCCTGTGTCTGGGGGAGAGCCCTGTCTGTGGAGCATCAAGAGCCCAAAGGGCTCCCCCACACCCAGCACACCTTTCATGGCCCTCCTGGCAGGGGAACAACTGTACTGAGCTCTGAGCAAAGGCTGCCAAGAGGACAGAGCACAGGCAACACTCCACCCACCCCAGCTGGCCTCTGCCTGGCTGAAACGGGTCTTCCTCCTGAGACCACATGTTGCTCTCTAGGCCCAAAGCATCCGCTCTAGAACTAGCTGTGAAACAGCAACTCAATACATCACGACCCCAACTACATAAGCAGACACTGCTCCCTGTGTCTTCAGTGGAGACCCTGCCTGGTCTACAAGGGCAAGTGGACTTGAAAAGAAACAAGAATGTTTCTGCGCAACTTTCACCTGGGATGAAGGCAAAAGAGGCCCTCAGAGCTTGCCTGATCCCTGCCAGCAACAGGCCCGCTCCTCAGTCCCGCCGAAAGCTTCTCTCCCTGACAGCTGCACGTTTGCCTCTTGGCTCAGTGTGACAGAGTCATAAGTGACCGTAGAGAGTGGAGAGTCTATACCTCAGGACTTAGCTTTTAAAACAACAAAATCCTTTCCCCTTCTAAGGGCTGGAAAGGCAATTCCTTGCCCAACAGAATGGCTTGATCCCTGGCTCATTCTAGAGAAAATAAATAGCAAGCCAACTGTTTGCAATTACACCGTAGGATAAACACTCCTCCCCCAGAAAGCCTGCAAAAAACACAGCAGAATTCTACAAGGCCCAGGAAATTTGTAATCGTGTGGGGTCTTTGTGTATCATACACAAAGTATGAAGCCCTGAGCTAGTATGAGTGACAGACACCTGTGTGCAGAACAAAGCACAGTGATCCTGGAGACCCTCTCTCCATATGTCTATGCTATCAGGAAAGGTGGCAGAGTCCCCTGGCCAGCTTGCCAGCTCTCTGCAGAGGCCAGCTGGCCCCAAGTCAGGAGGGACAGTGGCACAGCCATGCAGGCACAAGTACTCACAGGACCTGGCTGAGTTGGTGGAACTGCTCCAGGGCCTGGCGGCACCAACACTGCTGCTTGTCACTGCCACATCCCGCACACAGTGGGCTCTGAAGAAGCCGGTAGTACCGGCGGCGGGCATACCTGCTGTCCAATTCCCCCTCCAGCTCCGGGTCGGTGCCCCCTTCCCCTTTCCTCTTACTCTGCATGTAGACTCTCAAGAAGCGCCCATAGAGGCGCTGGACCATCTCCTGAAAGGCTCTGGGAGTGGAAAAGAACAGGACGCCCCGCAAGGTGGTGTGGACCTTTTCCCGCAGTCCCTGCGCCCCAGTGCCCATAAGCAAGCCCAGGCGAGTCCACTTCTCCAGAAGCTCTAGACTATGCAGGTAGGGATCCAGACGGCTCTCCAGCAAGCCAAAAGCATCAAGGAGCAGCAGAAGGCACTGGGGCTCGTCTGCACAGTTCTCACGCTGGGAGACGGCGTTCCAGAATTCGAGGGAGATGTTGGCCTGCAGGTCACTCTGCAGCACCTCTAGGAACCACTCCTCCAGGACCGAGTGCAGACCATGGCCCCTCAAAACCTCTACCGCTGCCCGGAGCTCCTCCTCCTTTGGAGGAACTGCACCGCTGGTCCGGGAGGATGCCTACAGTGTAGAAAACCGCAAGGAGACGGGAACATAGTGCAGAGGTGGCGAGGGCGGTAATGGGGGCAGAGGCAGAGGAAGGGACAGAAGGGGAAGCGGGGCCTACGATGGAGAAGGGCTGCCAGGGGAGCCAAACGAGGTGGGATTGTGGAGGAAGCAGGCTGGACAAAGGCGACGGACGGAGCACTTCTAGCCCGAGGAACGACGCCCCAATAAAGGGCGCAGCGTCCCGGGAACCCCACGCGGGCCGCCGCCTCCTTCCCTGCCTCACCAGTCCCAGAGCGGCAGGAGGCACCAGCCCGGTGCTCACGGTATTCCAGGCCACCAACAGCTCCGGTGAAGGCCCTGGGTTGCTGTCACGCGCCGCCACCGCCACCGCCGCCATCTGGGCCCACCCGCTCCAGGAACTGCCCGGCGCCGCGCACGACGATGACGCAGCCTGATCGTGCGCGCGGCGATGACGCACACGAAGCGCGCAGCGGTGACGTATTGGGGAGCGTGGCGTCGGAAGAAAGCGCGCAGGCGCGGGCAGCACTGTGGTAGTGGCGGTTGGCGTGCTTGGGATCCCGGACGGCGACCATGACCCAGCAGGGCGCGGCGCTGCAGAACTACAACAACGAGCTGGTCAAGTGTGAGCGGCCGCGCGACGGGGCCCGCCGGGAGGGCTGGGAGGGCGCGGGACTCTCCGACCTGCGGGCCCAGGAAGTAGCGGGCGCGCAGCGTGCGGCCGCGTTGGTTGCACGGTTCGTGTGTGGGTGTCCTGGCCGTTTCGACCTGCCCAGTGCACAGCCACGATGCGGCACGCACCAAGGGCCAGGTGTCTGTGGGGTGAGCGGAAGAACGAATGGCTTGGGCATGCTCCGCCTCCCAGGCCCCGCGCCGGGGCGTCACGTGTGGAGCCCCTTTAAGCCTGGCCGCCGGGGATGTGGGACACTGGCCTGGCTCGGGTGGAGGTGGCCCGGCAGGCACCCGCGCCTCCCACCACCAGTCTTTCTTGCGAAGCAGTGGGTCCCCGAATGGGAGGGGTGGTGGTCCCGTCCTGGGCCGCAGCGCCTGCCCGTCCGCCCGCCTTAGGCATCGAAGAGCTGTGCCAGAAGCGAGAAGAGTTGTGCCGGCAGATCCAGCAGGACGAGGATGAGAAGCAGCGGCTGCAGAATGAGGTGAAGCAGCTCACAGAGAAACTGGCCCGAGTCAACGAGAACCTGGCACGCAAGATCGCCTCTCGCAACGAGTTTGACCGGACCATCGCGGAGACAGAGGCTGCTTACCTCAAGGTGGGGCCCAGGGCAGCTGGGAGGCCCACATGGAGTTCCCCCAGGGGCTTTTGGCCCGGGGGTGCCTCCGGGAGAGGCGACAGGACCACTGGGGAGATGGGAGCTGCTCATGGGGCCCGGTGTGTTCTGGGTCCCATTCCTTGCACTGTGCTGGTTACTGTGTGGCTTGTCCTGGGCTCTCTGGCCTGGCTTCCCAGGATGAGAGGAAGGGGCAGAGGGTCTTCACACAGACTCAGACGGCATGTGAGGGGTCTGGGCTGTGGGGGCTGTCTGACAGAAGAAGTGACAACTGCCTTGGGTCTCTGTTCCCAGATCCTGGAGAGCTCACAGACTCTGCTTAGTGTCCTGAAGAGGGAAGCTGGGAACCTGACCAAGGCCACGGCCTCAGAGCAGAAGAGCAGTGGGGGCAAGGACGGCTGATGAAGCCACAGGCGGGGAGGGGCGCACCCTCGTCCATCAGTGGCCCGGCTCCCAGCAAGTCTGTCTTCAAAGCGTCTTGGTTCCTTAAGGCAGCAGCTGCCTTCTCTGTCTCCAGTGCCAAGAGGCAGCTGCCACTCCCCACGGGCCCAAGGTGACAAAAAAGTCCTGGGTGCAACCCTCCAGGTTCGGTTCCTAGCCCTGTACTCACACGGGCTATGGGGAGGGCAGGCCCTGGGTCAGCTCTGCTCAGGGCCCCTTTGAAGACCCCACACCCCACTGGGCTGCCAGAGAGGCCATGCTTCTAGTCTCAGCACTATTGGAGTCTCCTCACCTGTCCCTGGGCAAGCAGGTGCCCAGGCCAGGCAAGCTGGGAAGGGCTAAGGGACTCCTTCACCTCAGAGTTCACCCTAGTAATCTGTGCCTGTCAATAAAGGTTGTCTTTGTAAATATCCTTGCTAGGCTGTGTCCTGTGTCAAGAGTAGGGATGCTGGACAACCTGGGCCGGAACACAAGCCCCTGCCTGGCTTTGGTGTGGCTCTTCCTTGGGGGAGGGGAGAGGAGGACCTAGAGTCACTTTTCTTGTGACCAGCCTCACTGGCCTCAGACAGAGCTGAGGGTGCCCCTGAGCATCTCCTGTGATCCTCATTGACCACCCCCTCCCCCAGCTCCGGCATGCAGCCCATCCTTTGGTGAGGGGCTCTGCCTGCTGGTCCAGGTCCCTGCCATGCTCTGGTGTCCAGCACAGGACCTGGCCTAGCGAGAACCCTTCCTGGGCTTGGGTTCCCAACAAGAACTGCAATTCCAAACTGCTTGGTTTAACTGCTTCCTGCCCTCCCTGGTCACTTGTTAAACATGCCCACTTCCAGCCTTCCATGCGGCCTGGGACCCAACCCTCTATTCTGAGTCTTTTCTGGGTCCGTCTCTGTTGGCCTGTCAGCCCCATAGGTCCCTGCAGCTGCTGCCCCAAGGGGTTGGGTGAGTTTGGGAAGCATGTGTTGGTTGAGAGGGTCAGGAGAAACTTGGGCCCACCCTGCCCAGGAAAACATCAAAAACACTCTCCTTCCCAAGCCTGGTCAGGCAGCATTGCTCATGGGCTTGACTCTGCAGGAGGAAGAAACATTCAGTGCCTGGACTGCCTGCGGCCCCAGGGTCCCTGACGCGGCTCAGTATGTCTACGAGGAGGCCAGCCCAGCCGGCAGCCGCTCCCACGTGGCGGCTCTGTGTCTGCCATCCCCTCAGGACCCACTGGGTTGCCCCGCCAGCAGCTAGCACTGGCCCCAGGGCACTGGCCTGCTTGCCACAGCCTTGCTACAGGCTTGTGGCGTAGAGATTGGAGACAAGATCTCAGAGGCTCTGCCCACACCCTGTGAGTTCCCCACAGGCCCTTTGCACTTCCGGGAAACCACCTTAGACCCAACAGCTACAGCACTCCCACCCGCTCCACCTGGGGTCCAGGCGCCCAGGCACACACTCCCAGGCCCTGGCCTGGTGCCCCGCCTCCCACTGCAGCTCTGGGATGGAGGGGCTACCCCAAGAATGGGGGCACTCACAGGGCAAGCACAGGAGGGAGGTCCCTCTCCCACACAAGTGGTGGCTGGAAGGGTAAGCAGGGCAACTGTGGCCATGGGGAGTAGGAGCCTGGACCACCAGGACCTCAAGGTTTGGGGGTGCCGCCTCCCACACCCAGGCTTGGATGTCCCGGCTGGGCTCCCACCACACCCCACGTGGCCTCCTCAGTGGAGTCCTGCCGACCTTGGCTCTTCTCCCCCTTCTTGAGCCAAGGTTCACGCAGGGAAGGCAGAGGCAGCCCCGTGCAGTGCTGTTTATTGCGTCTCTCAGAGGCAAGGAAAGACTCGCCATTCGCAGGGGGGTGAGCTTGGGAGGGCAGGGGACAGGAAGCCCAGCCGGACCTTCATTCTGGGCACACCCAAGAGCCGCTAGGTGGGATTCCAGCCGCAAGGACCCTGGCCCTCCTGCACGAGCAGAGCCCCGAGGGAAGGAGAGGCCCAGGTGCCTGGCTCGGGCTGAGCATCTGCAGAGCTGTGAGGCCCCAGGAGGGAAGGGTGGGGTGCCAGGGTAGGGGGAGTGCCTGGCAGGGTGGAAGTGGGGTGCAGATGGGGACAGGGCTCCCAGGGACTGCCCAGTCCAGCTCTGGCCGTCCCGGCAGGCTGGGTCAGAAGTAGAGAGCTGGCTCGCTGCGGAAGTCCGAGAGGTCGTTCTGACTGGCAGGGGTGAGCTGAGGGGGAGGAGCACACAGGCCACCAGTGGCTCGACCTGAGTTGAGAGACACCCCCACCCCATGCCCGGTGTCTGCCCTCCTGCCCCGGCCCGGCCCTGCTCACCATGGCCCCCCTCGGGGCAGGCTCCACCTCTCCTGAAGCCTGCTCCAGCGTCTGCTCCTGCCACTTGCTGAAGGCCACGGAGTGCTTTGGAGTGTAGCTGGACAGGCCTGAGGGCGGAGGGGCACACATGTGGGCATGTGGCCCAGGCTACGCACTCGGCCACGCATCCCAGAAGGTGGGCACTCACCTGAGCTGCCATCTAGCAGCCGAGGGCTCTCGGGCCCCACACTGTTCACAAACGTGGCTCGAGGCAGGAAGAATGCAAAGGGCTTCTCCACCGCCCCACCCGGGCCAGACCCGGCGGCCTCCTCGGCGGCCTCCTCCTCCTCCTCCTCGTCCTCCTGCGCCAGGGAGCTCTCGGGAGGGTACTCGAATGTGGTCTGCAGGCGCTTATCATTAAAAGAGATCTTCATCTGGGGACAGCAAGGGACGGCAGGGATATCAGCAAGGACCCTGTCTCCCGGCCCGACTGAGCTAGGACTAGTGACCTCAAGGGTCGTGGTGGGGGATGGCAGACTGGAGTGGGTGGCAGAACATGCCATCAGCCCTTCAGAGACTCTGAGAGGTGGGGGTGCCGCCCCTCACCACAGAAGACCCCTCCACCGAGACCCTGTCAGACCAGGCCACCAGGACCCCAGGAGGGCTGGGTCTGGCTGCCCACAAAAATCTAGGGCCCCTGTGTCCAAACACCTGCACCCAAGAGTCACATCACCCGGAGTGACCCACCCCTCCCAGAGACCAGACCCGAGCCAGCACCAGGAGTCCAAAGCCTCGGCGCCTCCAGCAGTCTGGCAGCGCCCATGGCTGAAGGGCGGCCTCTTCTGAAGAGCAAGCTCCTCCTGGCACTCAGGCCACGGCAGGAGCAGAGGGTCCAGGTGAGGCTGTGTTCAGGAGGCCCGCAGACTTGAGGGGCTCCACGTCCTAAAGTCCCAGCAGCTCCTGCCGGTGCTGAGGCTTCTCTCTCTCCAGGGCCAAGTTCATGTCCTGGCTTGCTGGGTACCTGAGCAATCCTGCCTCCCTGGCTCAGCATGGATCACCACCGCGGGGCAGGGGTCCAGCACACCCAAGGCCAGGCCCCCAGGGGCCCACGTGACGTGGCACCGAATTCTGTCACCTCATTTCAAAGACTAAGTCAGAGCTAGCTCAAGACTGCACCCGGTGGGGGTCGGAGACCGTTAACACCCATCCAGGGTGCCCATCTAGCCCTCATCCACCCTGTTTGCTCTGCAGGTGACAGAATTTCACACCTAGCAAATCCTGTTCCCCACATATGCCTCAGTGCCCCCTGGGCCGCTGGTGCTGAGAGGCAGTGGGGACAGGCACAGGCGGAAGGCTGCGGGCACCAAGTCCCACTCCTCACCCCAGGACTCAGCTCCCCACAGGAACCACACGCCCACCAGGCCCGCGGGCCAGGCCCAGCAGGTCAGTAATGAATATGAGGGCCACTGCCTGTAGCAGACGGGAGCAGCCCTGATGGAACTCGAAATATTAAACTCCTGGGCACAGGACACCAGCAGCCAGCTCAAGTTCCTCCTCCCCTGGAAGGAGCCGGAAGCAGGAGCCGAGCCTCAGGCGAAGAACCATGGGGCAGTGGAAGGACCCTGGTGCTGGCCTCAGAGGACACATGCAGGTCCTGCCAGGAGTGTGAGGCAGTGCCCTGCTGAGCCAGCTCCAGAAACCAGGGCGCACACGTGCCCTGGCACCCTGTCATGCTCCTCCCAGCAACATTCATACAACCCCATCTGCTCCCCTGGCTCCTGGTCTTCCCGGTCTCAGCATGGACCACACACCAGCGGGGTGATCCATCAGCCAGTTCCAGACCCTTTGCCCCCACCACCTGCACAAGCAAGTGCTTAGGGACGTGAGCACATGGCAGACCACCTGGGTCAGGCAGACCTGGAGGCGAGATACTTGCCTGTCACTTGAAGGCACACCGTCCCTCAACCTGCTCTGCCCCAGCAGACCCTCCAAGTGCCCCAAGTACACGGCACTGTCCCCACTCAGAGCCCTCCGGGCCCATCCCCCAGCTCTGAGGACACAGAGAGGGCCAGCTGCCAGGACCCCGCCAGCCGGATTAGTGTGCCCTCAGCCCACATGACCAGCCCCTAGCGGAGACTGGGGGCTGGGTGCGTGTGGGCAGAGCCTGGCACAGCCTGGCCAGGCGGGGGTGGGGCAAGGCACACAGGCCCCTGTCTGCACCCAGCAGGGGCCCAGAGCCAGCTCACATCCCACCCCCTTCAGGCTCTACACTCACCAACTGAGCTGGCCTGGTGGGGCTCACGGGCCCCCCTCCTCATGGGTGCAGGCCTGTGGGTCACGGGATGCCCCGTGACTGGTGCTGCTGTGGGGGGCCAGCCTCCAGAGCCCAGGCAGATGGGATGGGTGTGGCTAGGGGCTGGCACTTGCACATACCTGGTCACCTGGCTCTGAGACTCTGCCTGCTGCTGACGCACAGTCAGCAGGTGGGTCCTGGTTCGGCCCGTCTCCCAGCTCGTAGAGGCCCTTTGTCCCCCTTGCCCTGCCCTGCCAGTGCACGCCTAGCATGGGTTACCAAAGGGCACCCACCCTGGACTCAGCTGGGAGCCAGGCTCGAGTAGGCCCTGCCCACCCTCCCTGCCCAGCCCACACCTGCCTGCCCTCCCCGCCCCCAAGTCCCCACACTGCTTCCTGGTGCCTGAGTCAAGCCCAGCCCCTGCCCAAGGCAGCCCCTCTATCGGTGCGGAAGCCGAGTGCACAAGGGTCTGGGTAGGCTCCAGAGACCTCTGGGCTCCAGAAAGACCACTTGTTGGGGCCACCTGTGGGGACAGCTGGGGGGCGGGGAAGGTGGAAAAGGAGGGAAGACCAAAGGGACCGAGCAGGGCAGTGCGCAAGGCTCCCCGCAGACAGGGAGGTGGTGTCACTGGAAGGAGCAGGCGGGGAGCCCCCAAAGGCAGCCAGAACCTGGAGATCGGGGTGCTGGGATGG